CAGCCTCTATTAACTATTTCCTCAAAAGTAGCTCATTTCAAACCTTGAGTCTGTGTCTCTCCCTCCTGGAGTCAGTTTTCCTCAAATGGGAGGTGTTTCTTGTCTGTGTGCTCACCTTTTCCTGCTGCAATATTCCTCACAGTTGAGACTTCCTACCTCCTACCTTTCAGGGGCTTCTCTTCCATGAAGAGCTTCCTTACCCTTCTTATTTTCAGGTGTGTGTGTGTGTGTGTGTGTGAGAGAGAGAGAGAGAGAGATGTAATTTTTGCAGATTTGAAGTTCAGAGAGAAAAGACACAGCATTTGCCAAACCCGTGTGATTTAAATTAAAAGTCTATCCTTCTGTCTGTATATAATCTTGTATTTGGGGGTGCCACATGATAACACTTATCAAACAGCTTGATTTGCTAGAAATCATTCCCTTAAAACAAGCCAAAAATTAACTTTCCCTAAACTCCACTCATTGGTCCCAATTCTACACTTCATATCTATATGAATACAGCAGACCTGAGTTAAAGAAAACTCTCATGTTCTCCCTAGCATTTCTCTTCTCCAGGACAAAAATACTCAATTTTTTCCCCACAATTCCTAACAGTCATACAGAGTCTTTGCTATTTTAAGTTGCTGTATACCTCTTAACCTGGTTTTCATATGAGAGTTTGTTCAATGTACCTTTTAAAGTGGGTCTCCAGAACTGAACAGGTGCAGGCAGTCTGACCATTTCAGAGTCCAGTAGCACTCTGATGTCTCTTGTTCTGGATGGTCTATTTCCAAAAGCACAATCCAAAAACCCTGTATCATTTTGTAGACACATACTGAGCTGACAGTACAACGCTTTCCTGCTTTGTTCTATTCAGCCATTCTCCCCCTCCCCTATTCACTTGTTTTTGGAAACCAAAAATCAGGACTTTATAAGTAGCCCTGTTAGGTTTCACGTTATGCTCAGACTAGGGCTATAGACAAGATCAGAGACAACCACCCCATATTGCTAAGCAGTTCCCCTCCCCTACCCATCACCCACCCTTTAACTGCTTAAGAACATTTGGGGAGAAAAGGAACTCCATTCCAGGAATGTTACTCCAATACTTTCACTGCCTCTCTAGAACTGCTGAATAGAGCCATCAACTTGGAAAATCCATTGTCTTTGAGTCTCTGACCCCTTTAAACATTGTTCTTGGTTGACTGAATGCCATTTATCTATGGAACAGCCCTCCCTGTACTTTTGAGAAGTCAACACCTATTCAACTTATTGCACAAACTCGATTATGTTTTAGGCAATATAATTAGCCTTCTTTTTATATTAGAAAAAAATTATGCATCCCTCTGAAGATCTTATAGTGCTAAGATTAATCCCTATTTAAAAATTGTATGCAACCTTTTGTAGATTTCCACAGATCCTGTTCAGTGTCCTCAGTCCACTGGCCACTCCAGCTGAGAGCAGTAAAAGAGAACACAGTCAGGACAGGTGGTAAGAATACTAATCAGTGCATTCCCCGTCTTTGACCATGAAACTCATAGAACCAACCTACATTCACAATTAGAAAAATAATGTCCCTTCCTTTCTGCCTTCAACACAATCCTAAAAATTGAAACTTGGAAAGTGTATTACTTTTTTTAAGTTTTAACAAGAAGAAGAAGACAGTACAATTATCTTAAAATGTAGAATATAAGTTCATCTCCCAAAAGGCGGAGCAGTTTGTCCCAGAAGAATACTTTCCTGGCTCAAATTTTTATAACGCTGCTCCAAATTTAAGCTTTGTCTTTTAAGGCGTAAAATTCAAAGGTCAAATTCAAGTTGGGTACTCAAAGACGAAACAAAACAATTATCTGATTAATTCAATTAGCTAGTCTACATCATTAGGATTCCTATACTTTAAGTAATTTTTAAAAAGTCATTATTTACATAATTTCCACAACTTTCCATTTCATGTTATTTGAGAAATACGTTATTTTGAAAAGAACCTTGTGGTTGTAATATCAAAGATTTTCCATACACTGCTTTGGGTGAGGGGAGAACTGTTAGCACTGCCTTTTAATTTTTCCCCACTGTAAGTGTTGTGCTTAAATAGCCTATTAAACTATTTACTACATGTGAGAAGGCCATTGAATGATTGTTTCCACATTGCAACAAGAAGTTAGTCGTAAATCTAAGAAGTTCACAAGAAAAACTAAATCAATATTAAATAAATGAATCATGTAAAGAGTCAAAATAATACTTCACTCGCATAGTTAAAAATGTGCTGGTCTGATCCTACTCTTTTGGAAAGAGTGAAGCAATATAGTGAAACAATGATGAGGGCCATTGATTTAATCAGTTATTACACTTTTCAATATAAACCTAATTTTGGCTGTCTGAGCTGAAACTTAATGCAAGTTTATTTGGACAGTCCACTTTCCTTTGTTTGTACAATGGAAAATAATATAAAGACCTGGGCATAAAAATCATTCTTATTATTTAAAAAAGAAGAAAAAAAGAAAAACTAGCAAATGTCTTATTAAAAATTGTTGTACAGATGTAAACCTTATTAACTGTACCTTATTTATGTAAAATTATTTATTGACAGCTTAATTCTACCATGTTATTATTTGCTGCCAATACAAATGAACATTATAAATAAGAAAATATGAAATTCATTTTAGACTTATAACTAATAATATGAGAAACTATCATTTATTAAAATCACTTGTGGGATCTCTAAACTGTTTTAAAATGCCAACTTTAGAAATGAAGCCAAATCAAGTGAATCATTTTCTATCCTTGATTAGAGCTGCACTGACTTTCAGATTGTATATTTATTTTTAAGAAAAAGATAAACACAGGACTTCATAAACCTCTAGGGTTAAACACTATAATTTATAAGAGTTATGCAAAAGGCACAAAGTAGGAAAAACTGGGAAGCAGATGGAGAAAAATACGACCTGCTTAAAGTAATTTTTCAAGCAGTAGAGAAGATAAAGTCATCTAGAAAATGTCTTTAGCATTACTCTTACATGCTCTATTTATTGAACTGGCCCAGCCTTTCTTTTCTATCTAGTAAACTGCCCCAAACTTTGATAGCTTGAGACTCTTCAAACATCCCTATAAAATAAGTACACACACACACACACACACACACACACACATGCACATGAATGTCTGTCCACCTGTTAAATGGAATTTTTTGTCCATTTCCACTTACGTGAACTGCCAGAGATTTTCTGAAGTAAAAACCCAGTATCATATCATGATGAAATAACTGAAGCTAAGTGTGGGACCTCTTTTGATCTCCACTCCCAAAATCTAACACTGAAGACTTAATTCCACAGAGATGCCACCATGATACGGTACCAGATATTTGGGTTTTAGGTCTCTACTCCAGAAGTCTTTTCCTGATACCCTCATATATGGTGATAAATGTCTCCTTAATTTGCACAAGAGTTTTCAATTGTCCTCATAGGAGACCACCTTGAAGGAGCGAGTAAAAGGTTTAGTCATGGTTTCTATTTTTCTGTTTGAATTCAATACATTCTAGTTAAATGGACAATTAATAGGTCACTTCCAAAATAGTAGTGTATCAGTCCCGGTTAATAAACAATCCCCACAGTTGATAATGGGCCCTATGTATTCAGCAAGTCCCTGTATACACTCAGCTCATCCACAAAATCCCTTTTCAGGTAGACAGGGTTATATGGGAAGATGAGCTAGAATGAGTCTATAAAAGTCAGTTTCATTCACTGCTTTATTTTTCAGTCAAGTGTTTTAAATGGTGTCCAGAAATTCACTTGGAATGTGAGACAGGAGAAAAGACTGACACACAGAGCCTTGCTTTATGACCATACAAAAGGGCAACTGACCCTTGCCCAAGCCTTTTCCATGTGAAATGGTTCCTAAAGTTCATCTGCAGAGTGAAAAATCGTGGTGAGGTCGCGTGTGGATGAGTCGAGTGAAAGTGACGATTGGTCACGGGTCTGTCACCCATTGTGGCCGGGTCTCAGCCATGTAAAGTGCTCTGTGGGAAAGTATCAGCCCCCTAAAGAGATGCTCAGAGCCTGCAGCTCATTAAACCGTCAGCATTTGCTGCCTCACTTGTCAGGAATTATTCTGTCGAGCAACTGTTTTCCTGAACCATTCCCAAGACACATGCACAGAGGCAGCAGGGATCTGAATTGAACCGTGATGGGGTTCGGCACAGGAGCCGGACTCAACTCTTATTTCACTTTTCACCTGACAGAGCTGTTAAGCTGAATAAGTGTTTTCTCTTGGGCAGCTGAAAGAAATGCACCCCTCCACTGGATCTCTTTACCATAAACTCAAATTCCCTGCCTAGAGATTCTCATCTGACCCAGAAATCTCAAGACCAAGGGGAACTTTACTTTTATGCCTGTGTTTTTCCTTTGCCTGTGAGAGTGTGTGTGTGCACGCTGCGAGATTTCGAAAGTCTGTCATTCTCACTCCACCCCCAGACTCTACTAAAATTTTGCTTTTATAATGTTGGGAGAAAAGAGTTCTCTTGAAAATATTTCCAACAGTTCTGGTTGGTTACCTTCAAGATGCCAAAAATGAGAGATTTATCTCCTCTCATGATCTTGACAATTTTAAATTATTCTCCATAGATACTTAGTGACTTTCTGTGTTACATGTTAAGCGGAATGGAAATTTTACACAGCACAACTTTTTCACCTTCCTTCCTTTCCTTTTTCCTCTTCTTTAAAGGAGTGTTGCTACACATTTCAGAAAAGCCAAACTGGTCCCTCCGAGATCTTTTATATCAAATGGAAAACAAGTTGCTTTTGGTGATGTGTCGGCCCTGGGTTTCAATGCCATTAGAACTGCTCACAATTGCTCAGTGTGCTGAGGTTTGATAAATCTCTGGAAAGCTCCTGAATAGGATTGCTGTGATTTTTAGTGAGGAATTAGCTCCTTGCCGTTGCATTACCAATTAGTTTTCCAGAGCACATTAAATCCTGCAGCTTTCGTTTACAGAGTAACTGAGGCATTGCTGATGAAGCATAAAAACTTACTTGGAAAAGCAGCGGAGGATGCAGTGCGCCGACAGGACCCACCACAGCACGCCGAGTAGAATGGCGGCGCGCTCAGAAGAAAAGGTTTGGAAGGTGCTGCGAAGAAAGCATTGATCTCATTGATTAGCCATTTCTTTAAGACAATATTCAAAACTCCAGTTTCCTAAAAGTCATTGAGTAAATACTTTGCTTAGTTTTAATTTGTTTTGAAATTAAAGTTGTTGTAAAGTAGCCTTTGTCTGTCAAAGAGCATGCCAAATAATCTCATCAAGATTTGAGAGGTGTGGTGGAAAGACGCAAAGAGACTATGAAACACCAAGCCTCTTAGATCATTTTCTGCGCAGTCATCATTGTAAACAGTAAACATCAAATATTCCCTTATTTAAAATACCCTAGAGCAACACTGTCCAAGAAAACTACCTGTGATTATTGGAAATATCTACATCTGCATTGTTCAAAATGGTATCTGCTACCCACATACAACTACTGTACACTTAAAATGTAGCTGTATAACTGAATAACTGAATGTTTAATCTAAATTCACTTATATTTAAATAGACTCATACGACTAGGGGTTACATTAAATAGCACAGCTCTAGATATCCTACTTACCAAGAAACGATTTAAATTTTATGTGCTTACATTTAATTGTTAAAGTTTGTATCACTTTGCTTATTTTCAGATGGTTCTTTGAAACATATAGTTAGTTGGATTCCAAAGTTGGTAAGAGTAAATTTACTGAGCGATTCCATAACAAAAAGTAGTGTTTCTGATCACATTTACATGACTTAAAGTATTTGAGAATAATCCCATCTTATCTCAAGAGAAATCTAGTCACCCTGAAGATATGTGTTTCTAGTATAGTGAGTTGCCGTGTAATTCTGCTCTGCATAGTTTTATTAAAATAATCTATTCATAAAATTTTCAAGAGAGACGCATGAACTATTTATGATTACTCCTGTGCAAAAGTATGAAAAAGAGACCCATTTTGGTGACTAAAAACTTCTATAAAAATTTTTTGAAGTCTCATTAGTATAAGTTGTTCTATTATTTTAACTATAAAACCATCATAGAAATGATGAATCATCCTCTTTGAATTTAACATTTTAAGCTAAACTCTGTTCCTCAGTAGATGACAACAGTTATAAAGGATAAAACATGAATAATAACTCTCCATTACTGAGCACTTACTGTATGCCATGCTTTGGTTATGTGCTTTAGACACACCATGTCCTTTCATAGAATGTGTTTAATACAATATAACTGTAGGTGGAGATTGCCTAAAGTGGGCACTTGCCCATACCATGACACACTCTGAACAGAGTGCCTAGCACATTCTAAATAGTCAAAACTTTTTTAGTAATTGAGCAAATGGTCTTCCAAACTAACAAACAGAAAACTTCCCTGGTCTTAGGGAAAGAATGAGGGTCAAGAATTAATCCTTCCCCTGCTTCCTGACCCATCCTAAAACATGGCGTCTTTCATAACTGATGACCTTGAAATCTAAAACATGACTTGAAAATAAATATTTTTATGATTCTCCTTTCATATTCAAGTGACAAATTCTTTCCTTTTCTTAATCACATTCAGTGAATATTGTTTCCATATGACTGCATACCTTTTTGAAGAACACAGTAATTTCAGACTTGTATTTTAATGAACTGATGAGTTGTTTATGTTCATGTTTATTTTCACAATTTCTGTGAAGGATGTATCAAAATAAGTATAGTTCCCAATAAGAATTATTATAGTATTTCAGGGTCCTGGGTGCTTTAAAATTGCAGATTAATCATAAATGCAGTTTTCTTCCTAGCACACAATGGGAAGTTGTTAACATTAATGCTTTTAGGTTTTTTAAATACTTGGGCTTTTAAAGAATCAAGTGTTTGTTTTAATGATCAATTAAATCAAGTGTTTGTTTCAAATGATCAATTAAATTCTTAGTGATAAATGTGGTTTACAGATGTCTGATCTTAATGCTGAATTTAACCAGCAAAACCATTTTAATTGAATAGTCTATTACATCGCTCTACATTACCCTATCTTAATATATAAAAGCTGTAATCAAAATGACAGTATCAAAATCTGTAATTGCAAAAAAGTTAATCATAATCTACAGTAACAATTCTAGTTTTGACTAAAGAACTGGACTTCTTCACATTTTGTGACATGACCAGGCTTGAAATTCTATTGTGTACAATTTTTCACCATTTTAAATCATCTTTTTGACACACATATTTACACATGAGTTTAAGTCAATTCCTGATTGCTATACACAAATACATCTTGTTTAAGCTGGTTTATGTGAAAATCACTGTAAAATTCCAATTAAGTGTTTTTTTTTTTTTTTTTATGTGTTCCTATTTTGACCTAAGTCAAATGCTAATCCAGTGAGCATGTGATTGCAGGAGCACTGAATGGTCTTAAGAAATCACCATTTAAAACAATGCACTGCATTGAAGGTATACATATATACACACCATATATATATATATATGTAGCACTTTTAACTTTAGTGAACCATATACATTTTTTAAGTAATGACCAAAACAGGAAACTCAGCTTTGAAGAAAACAAAGTGACAAATTGATAGACATGCCATAAACCCTTAAGAACTACTTGGAAGGTGCTCTGAAAAAGGTAGAAAAGGTAATTTGATCCTATATAAAATGCATTTCAAACCTGATCCGTGCCATCTAGATGCAGTTGCTTAATCATTTATCATGTTAGAAATGATTAACTGTAGGCTCACTGAACAATATTTATAATGATAATATTTAAGGAGTGCTTACTATATATCAGGCACTGGACTAGCTACAAATTTAACACATGCTATGTCATTGATTCATTCACATTCAACACATCTGAAATGTGATTATGACCGCTCACAGCAAATTAAAAGAAAAAAGGATGAGAAAAACAATAAAGATTTAATATAATAATTAATTACTAGCCATGAGGGAGAGAGATTTCACGCACCATGACTCTGCCAGTTATTCAATAAGAGCTTGACCCTGGATAACTGACACATCTCCCAAGATTTCCATGAGAAAGAAAAAAAATGGCCTTTCCTCTGGAAAAAAATATAAACAGGTCAGGTTCTAGAGCATGACGTCAGTTTATATTAACACAATATCTTGAGACACTCCAAATTTCATATCCTACTGTGATGGCTAATACTGAGTGTCAACTTGATTAGATTGAAGGATGCAAAGTATTGATGCTGGGTGTGTCTGCGAGGGTGTTGCAAGGGAGATTAACATTTGAGTTAGTGGGCTGGGAAAGGCTGGGTGGGCACCATCTAATCAGCTACCAGCACAGCTAGAATATAAAGCAGGCAGAAAAAAGTGAAAAGACTAGACTGGCCTAGCCTACCAGCCTACATCTTTCTCCCATGCTTCCTTCCCTCAAACATTGGACTCCAAGTTCTTCAGTTATGGGACTCGAACTGACTCTCCTTGCTCCTCAGCTTGCATACGTCCTATTGTGGGACCTTGTGATCTTGTGTTAATACTTAATAAACTCCCCTTTATATATATGCCTACATATCCTATGAGTTCTGTTCCTCTAGAGAACCCTGACTGATACACCTACCAATCAAGCTTCCAATTTCTGTGTGAAACTGTTATGAGTGACAAACAAAATGACTTAAAATCTTTGGAACTAAACTGGGGCCTGTCTGAATCCAAATGACTAAAATTATGTATTCAGAGAAAACTTCATGAACTTTCCGTATGACTTATTTGAAGATACAGATTCAAGATACTTTTTATTTTGCATGTTTATTTAAGATGGGAACTTCTAGCCAACCTAATGGTGAACTGGACTGATTTTTTTAACTTAGCTGACTAGATGGTTCTGTGATACAAGTATCCCATAGCCAAGCAAGGTTACAAGTTTAGCTACTGAGAAATTATTCTGTTTTCTAGAAAACAATAATTTTTAAAATTGTTTTTTGTTCTTTTCATTCTCCTTTAGTAAAGCAGAAGAACATCAGGAATCTAAATGGTGTGAAACCACATTCTTACTGGCAATACAAACTATGGTACTAACCGACTTGAACTGTTTTTCGAAGGAAGAATACTAAAGACCACTAATAAAACTTTCAAATAAATTTCAGGAGCCCACTGCATTTAAGAAGGATGAGGAGAAATAACAGAAAGTTCCAAAGTATCTTACTAAGGCAACCACTGGGGGAAAAAACCCTCTAGGAAAGAATGACAGAGAAGTAAATAATTAAGAATATTAAAATAAATAATATTAATAGTTAATTAATTAAATTAATTAAAGGGATCAATTCAACAGGGAGAGAGCGTAATTATCACTAATCGTGTATGCCCACCCTACAGGAGCACCGCGGGATTCAGTGAAAGCACTGCGGCGTGTAGGAGTGATGCTTACAAGATGAGACTTAGACTGCCCGAACACAATGATCAAATGCGGGGACTTCAAGATCCCCACTGTCACCATTGACAGATCAACGGAGGACAGAAATTAACCAAGGATCTCCATGATTGAATGACCTTCTTCGTGCGCAAGCAGACTAATAGACATGATAGAACTCTCCACCCCATCAATACAGTATACATATCTTCTCAG